GAGTCCAGACTGTTGGAGTGCAGGTATAAAAGGTAGGGAAAATTTTGTGAAGCCACTGCAAGTTCAACAAGTTGTATATCGACACCACCACTCTGGACAAAATGCAATTTGCAAATAGCGTCAAAGCCTTCATCTTGTTCGTCGGGATTGCGACTATGGTGACAGCTGCTCCTTCTCCAGCAATTTGTACGTGTAATCTTCTTCACCTGCCTTTTCTCGTGGACTGACAGTACGAAGGCGAAGTTGATGAGCCTGTCGCGGAACGTGACCTCGAGGGTCGTATGCCCTGTTTCTGATTATGGATATCTGATCAGAGGTGATAAATCTTGCGTTCTGGTCAATCACTTGGAAACTTATGTACAGCCTGTCATTTACAGTCCTTTAGTTGATATAATCAACCGGCGGGGAAGGAAATATGTTTATAAAACTTTGATATCCTATCGATATGAATGCTTATTCAGTTGCTTGAGGAGGGAAGCTGACTACTCAGACTTACTGCAGCTCCAATTCATTTCAAATCTAGGATGCCAAAGCCTCAGGCTTTTACATCATCACACGTCTGACTGTCGATCCATTGAACGAGGATCTTTGCAAACTCGAGATTCCAGTGTTCCCCCATCACGTCATCCCTTGAATGGGATGTCAATTTGAGTTGAGAGGACCTGATCGTGCAAATCATCGCGTATAAATAGCTTCCAGCGCTCAAAATGATTGCCCTCAAAGCACATCAAACCTTAACTAATGATGACTCTCACCTCTGTGGGATGCTCTGGAATATCGAGCTTCGTTTTAATTTGATGCCAAGAGGCGATGCCGGGCGGGCGGTATATAACAGTATCCATGAGCGACTGCACCATCAGTCTTCAATTTTCCCTCTTTCTCCTTTGACCAGCGTCACTCCTCATCTAAAATGCAGTTCCCTGTCACCTTCAAAGCCTTCATCTTGTTGGTTGGATTTGCAGCCATGGTGGTAGCAAGTCCTATTCCAGAAGAATGCAAGTATTTTCATCACTGGACTCTCTGTCATCAACTAACCAACGAGCAGGCGCACTGGATGAGGCCAAGGTAGAGGCACGCGAACTCGCTGGACGCATGCCATGCTTCTGAATTTTCGAAGGTAAGAATGAATTACAGCGCTTACTGGACAAGACTCATATGTTGTCTTTCGAATTAGCAATCATTATTCGATGACACGAGTACAATGCGATTCGGACGAGCCACGATGAAGCGGACTCTCAGGGATGGTTGTTGTACATTACTATTATGCCGTAGATGATACCCCAGTGACATCCTCTCCCCCCCACCCACCCATTCTTTGCGTTCTGCGATAACACGGATCACTTTCTGTTGTTGCGTACTACGACAGCAGCGGAAGCATGCATATGACTTCTGGCAACATTCCGAGTCGAAGGATCGCCGAAAAAAACCCACTACATCGGTTGTGCGGGTTACAAGTCCTCAGTTTTAATCAAATTTTGTATAACTGATTGTTGTTTCATTGTCGCGCTTGTATGTGTGCATACACTCAGACTTTATACAATCAAGGCGTAAGTCGCATTCTTTATTTCTGAACATCCGGAACTAACTAAAGTAATCGGAACTGGCACATGCTCAAATGGACGACATAAACTATTGGATAGTGTCCCTTGATAGGATGTGGCATTCAAAGGCATCACCCACCTTCTGCATCTAGGAAGGATTACGCCGCGGCCGTTGGTAACGAGGGTTGATAGTTTAACACTCTCAATCACTCTCGGAATAGCGTATCTGTGCGTTCCATTCCCGACCCGACTTTTCAGCGAAAGTCCGCTGAATCGAGGTTGAGATAGCGAAACTGTCCAAATAACACCACCATTTTAAAAGTTAAAATTAAACGTTATTGAAGAGCCGGCGGCTTTACGAGAGAATTCAATCAGAGACTTCTCGACGTTCGATACTTGTAATTGGTGTGGCCGACCGATCGATGCAATTGGATGCAACGGCGAGCATTTTCCATTAGAGCCTAATTTCGAACGTTCGGAATAACTTACTTGTATCGGGTCGCCGCCACCAGATATTCCACGATGAAGAAATTTTGAAATGTGAACGCAGAGATCGAGGGGACTCGAGGGATTGAGTAACTTGGTCGGTCCACGAGAATGTTCGGTTCGAAGGACGCTATGCTTACACGGAGTTGCAGTGCAGTTCCAGAGTTCGAGTAAACGATCGTTTCTGGGATCGTGTCCTATACCTTGATCCTCGTTTTGCATTGCAAATATTATCGTAGCTGTGGTAAAATTTTGAACCTGCCGACAAAAAAAACCATGCATCGAGCTTGGATCAACAATGAGATTTTACTCCGGCAAGCACTGCTCATCCCTTGAGAATTGAAACAGCTGCGAAGACGATGCATAAGCAGATTGTCACCGAAAACTAGTCTTCTGACCCCAACCCATTTTAATCAGCCTCGTTCGAGATATTCCAGAGCAGGAGATTGAGCACATGGCGGAGTACCTTTGCATGTCGTCAGATTTTTGGTGCTAAAAATGGCGCCGGTTACATGGAACATAGCTTATAAGCCGCAATTCCGAATCGTGCGGAAAGTAGGGTTTTAAAACAATCAGTGTTCCGTTTTTGGACAAAATCGGGACTCCCAGTATCATGGCGCTACGTCCTTATCCGCTCGATTTGCCTAGTATTTGTCCCCGTTGTCCACCTGAACGGCTTTATAAAGCGTCTCGATTAATACTTGATTAATGTTTATCATCACGAGGTCCTCAAACGATCGGGCGATCGTTTAGCGACGGAAGGCAAATCCGCGCACGCAGTGGGGTTTCATTTTGAGACCGTCACGGTGCATCTGTGTGATCGTCGGAGTTGCAATATTAATTCCAGGTGTGACCGTTCTGCTCCAATCTTACAAACTGGATGCTGGATGACAATTCCATAAGCTCTCGAACGACATAATTTTGAGGTAGGGTTGATTTTTGATGCATATAACTGGGCATTGGGGGAGGGCCACGGTTCATTCCGACTCCTGTGTATCCTTGCAACCGGACGTTTACAGTCACGGGATGCTGATGGGAGTAGACTTGTGAAACTGTAGCCCCGCTCGGCGGCATTGAACTAAGCGGTTACCCCGATTATCGTACCCGCATGGAATATGCCCCATCGCGCGACCAGGCACATTCGAGTGTTCATAAGAAATGGATCCACTCGTCCTCGAGTTCAGGCATGTCCATTTGAACCAACATGTCTGCGCAACGTACGTCGAGAGTGATCTTATATCCTAATTCCCCTGAGCATATTCGTAGGTTTGCCTTCACCACTTGCGAAGAACGAGGGAGCATATGCTGCTCTTCATATGATCGGTGGTCATGTTGGACTGCCATTATTTGTTGGGACTATTATGCTGTCAAAGCGCTTGCATGCCCATTATTCGATGCTCAATTTTTGTTTAACCTGGATCATATTCTCCATTGTATTCTGTTTAACGTTCGTATTTTGTGTCTTCTTTATTCCAAGCGTATTCAATTACGAAATCCAAACAGAATATACGACCGTCACGACAACTATTCCCCCTCAGGCGGACGTCTATGCTTTGCACAGGCTGCAATGGTCCAAGGTGTGGTGCCAATGTGAGTTTTCCATATACTCAAACGTTCCCTGGTAAACGGAATAAACCGGTCGATGTTTAGGGTGGTCACCGGATCTGTATTCCTCGTTTTTCAAGTCTGGGAAGGCCTCCGAGGGACGTCCAGCCGTTGGACAGCACAACATCCCACTGCGTGGAAGATCATTGTCCGCATCTTGTCTTGTGTCCCGTTATGTAAATGCTCACCCCTTATTTTCAGACCATTTCATCACCATACGTCGCATTTTCGGCATTCTCATTAGCCGCAGTAATCGTACGCATGGACACCGACAAGTCTCGTATTATTCTGACGGCGCCAAAATTTCTCAGGTCATGGCGAAGAATTCATACTATTTTGCCGGGGACCGATACGGAGCATACTTCTGCAGTACAGTACACAACCCCATGTCAGCACAGAATTCACGCCGTTGAAGTCGAGCTGACCGAGTGGGACAGAAATCTGATTGTTCCAGGCTACACTGCTTTCCTAATCCTTATTATGTTGATTCTCGAAGGTCGGTTTACAACTGTCGTGTAATTATTTTGCTGAGTCGATGTCATTAGGATGGATCGTAGTGACGCTAGTTCGTCATGGTCGCGCGCTGCGTGATTCTCGGAGGCTCAGCAGATCAACAATCCATTTGATGACCCGCATCGGACTGTTCAGCATATACTCGTGCATCTCACTTGGGTAAGTGACTTCCCCGCGCTATTTATCACTTAAATATATATCCTCCTCAGTGTATGCGCGGCGTTCTTAGCGCAATCGACCAGTGCTTGGCCGTACTTGGTGGAAGCTTCCCGTAAGTTACTTCACTCTGCATCTACTGCCTTCCATGAACGCATTTGGGCCACCAGTTCCAACCGCTGCTTTTGTTATTTTCGGAACGCGACCGGATGTATGGCGTGTCTGGCTTTTCTGGCCTAAACCCCAAGGGAGATCTTCCGCGCCGGAGACGAGCATTCCGCATTTCATCGTTACTCCGAAGAACCTTTCCGCTCAGCAAGCACTCAGCACTGCGACCCTTGTAGAATTGAAAAAAATGCCAGGATACTTGTAGCGGCCTAATCTGGCCACCTTCTTAGAGTTCCTGTGGGTTTCCTGAGTCGGCCATTGGACGATCCATGTCTCTCATTCAATTTTGACATTCAGTACGGCTTTAAAATATTTTCAGGATGTATTTTCGTACTTACTCTCGTTCGGTACTATCACTGCAAACATGTGTATTTTTCCAGGATATAATGGAAGATTTCAACGACATTGCAGGTATCGTAAACGACTGTACGCCAGTGCGTCATGGCCCAAAAATGGATAATTCATTTTGTTATTGCCCACTTTCGGATGATGACAAATACGGGGGATTGCGAGTGGCCGAAAAATCATTAATGACCACCGCAGGGCTCGAACCTGCAATCTCCTGATCACACATCGTAGTCAGACGCGATGCCATTTCGCCAGGCGGCCCTCAAATCTTATTTCTTCATCAAAGTAAAAACCACAGACTCCAAAATATTACAACATATTATTACATTTAGCAGAGCCGAAAACGTTCACAAGGCATGGCAGAGACACATGCAATAAATTATCAATAATTATGAGAGTCCTACGAAAAGTTTACCCTCCAGGGTAACGAACGCCACAATTAAGTCGTCCAGAAGTTCATCATTGACCATCAGAGCTTGTCGCATAAGTCGCATTTCAAAGCACTCTTGCAGTCTGTTGACAATTCCTATCACCCCGGAAGGACTTGTTGCTGGGCTAGCGAGTATCTTCCACGCCGTGCTATGAGTATGTTCATAACAACAATCCTGGATGTGAAGCTCACATACAACCTCCGCCCATCTGACTGCCACCGGTATTCTGTTCCCCTGGTACGCATGGAGCGGAGCGGACTAAATTATAAAACTTTTAGTATGTCTATATATACTTCAACAGCGAAGACGAACACGTTCCCCGAAACTGGACTCAGCCATTCTGAAGCTAATATTGTCCGACCGCGAACATCAACCAAGGGGGGAACGGTGCGGCTGGCGGCCCAATTGATACGAGCAATGGGCATGCCATTGTGGTTCGTAATTATCGTTCGCTGGGTTTGCGCATCAGTGAACACTCGATACACGTTGCGATTTCCGGAGTCGGCGACAAAAAAATTGGAACGGCTGGTTCGGTAAAGAAATCTGTATGCAACCGAGCCTGCTTGTAGCAATGGGCCAAGGTTCAACCCAGGGGGATGTTGAAGCGGTAAAACTCCGTGTGCTGTTTGCGCAGGATTAAATCCAGACGTCCCCGCAAGCAACGCTGTGGGTGGTGATACGCTTGACGAGGCACTTGCTCCGCTCGTAGAAGTCTGGGGAAGCGACTGATTGGACGATGAACTCGGCGTCGGAGGTACCGACGAGTGGGGCGACGACTGGCTGGCCGGTAGGCTGGGTGCAGGCGAGGGGGAAGGACTTGGCCAAGGGCTCCATGGGTTTATTCCCGACCACCCCCCCTGCCTGTATGGATTTCCATGCACGGAACCTCGACCGAAAGACATAGCGAAAGGGGACTTGGCAAATGGGAATCTCGAGTCTGCGGGGGAGCAGAGAATGCAGAATTCTTTATACACTCACTTTTGTTTGACCAAAACCCCCCTCGTTCGCGTGACGGCCGCCAGCCAGATTACGTCGCAGCAAAAGCGACATTTTCGGCCACTGCAGCTTCACGTTGAGATCGGGCTTGATAGGTATGCAGAACCCTCTGCGCAGCCGACAGAGGAGACAGAGTCACTGTCCGTACTTGATCTCCCAACGAGGAACTAACGGTGCGGTGACGCTCGCCGATTAGCCCGAAGCCGTCAAGCGTGCAACTTTCCAGGTAACAAAGTGAGTTTAACATAAAACGATACACCAAATCATAGATTCGGGTAAGTGTTTACACCTCATGTGCGGCCAGATATGCTGCACGAGTCATCAATTGCGACCAAGAAGGTGTTTCATGAGATTAAAATCTCAACGAATATTTTCGATAAAGGATGCAGCTCCGAAAGTCTCATAACATCAAACGAGCCTACGGACCGAACGTACAGATGTCCCGGTTGATTGACGCCAGGTCATGGATCATTTGTGTCGCTACTCGTCCCACCTGCAGTTCCTGAATGGCCAGCCAGTGACTTCAACAATGTTCGACCTGCGAATCGTCGTCTTTAGCAAGGAAAATTACGTCTACGAAATCCTTACCTCCGAGAACGTAAATCGAGTAACAGGAGAGACAGGAAGAGGTACGAAATTCGTCTGCGAGCATCACGAATAAGGTGACATACCACTGGGCCAGATTCACGGCGTTCCATTACTCGGATAATCTTCCACCGCGGTAGGAACGGGAAAGGATTTAGTACCCGTAAATCTGGATGAAAGCGGGTCTCTGGCATCGATCTTGTCCGAATAGAACAGCTGTAGATCATATCGTACAATGAAACTTGTCAAAGCGGACGTATTGAAGCAACAGGGTCTCAATCATGTCGCCCAGGCCCTCAAGACCCAGCGAAAGCATGAAAGGCGTGCTTTACGATAATTTCTTGAAATCACAATAGTCACTGCTCAAAATGAACGGCCAAAAAAGTTCAACGCCACGGAAATTTCCATGCATATTGTAGGAGGGCCGGAGAGATTGTGGCACCATTGCCGATGTTCCATTCCTGAGTCAAGCGGACTTGAGCGGAGGTGATTACTGCAATTGACGGATCGGAGGGACCTCTTTGGACACACATTGTTGTCCAGGTGATTGAATATATGGACCCGACCCAGTAAGTGACCCAGAGAAGGATATTAGAAGCTAGAGCCGCCGGGGAAAATAAATAGACCGTCGTCGAGGAGTCTTTTTGGTTACAAAATCGCCTTTACGAGCGGACACAGTTATGACTCAACACCTGAGATTAAGAACACACCACGGATGATTTCCTGCTTGAGATATGTGGAATGGATCTTTCAGTATACTCGGGCATAGGTTGAACCTGATCAGGGAAGACAATGGCTAGGCACCATCCCACAATTCGTTGATAAAGCATAGAGCAAAGAGGACACACAGAAGGGTTTCAAGATCGATAGAAGTTTTCACATAGAACGAATTGAGAGCCGCACAAAGCTATGATGTGGTAATATCTGAGGCTTTCGGAGGAACGAACTGTTGAGCTGTGGCTTTTCGTGCGGTCAGAAGTCGATCCATAAAATCGCCTATGATGATTGAAGTGAATTAACGAGAACTTCAACACCAAATCCTGGCTGAGACTTTGCAATCGACACGTACAGTGGTTCAAGCAACCTGATGAAAATATCCTCTTTCTTCCGATTTTCATGGGCGTCAAAGTGCAACGTAATGCAACGTTGGACCGCGTGACTTACTCAGAGTTTAGGGCAGGTGCTTTCCCCAAGATGAGGCGCTGCGCCGAATCCATCACTCGCTCCTGTTTTTTATTCGCGACCATCTCAATCCCTGTTGTAGCCGTAGGGAAGAGTGCTAAGAGGTAGCTGGAAGTGGGAAGAGAGTGGTTTCGAAAGGTTCGGTCTTATCGTTCTTGTTTCTCAGTCAAATTGACTGTCGATCAGGAATCGAGTTGAAATATGGCTTATCAATTTTCGAGGAAGGGGTGTTTCAAGTGTGGAAATTGTGTGTGCTGTATAATTTCTGTCATTGGAACGTATATTGAAGTCTCCGAACGTTTAACAGTGGGGCATATCGCCGAGACTTGCTCCTCGGACCAAAGATTGTGCTACAACTGTCGTCAGCCTGGGCATGAGTCTTCAGCCTGTCCCCAGCCTCGCACTGTCGCCGCGAAGCAGTGCTATTCTTGTGGAGGAGTTGGCCACATTCAAGCTGAATGCCCCAGTCTGAGAGTGCAAGGAGCGAACCAGAAGTGTTATGTGCGTCGTAATTTCATTCCACTGCATCCAATGCACGTCTTCAGCTGTGGCGTCCTCGTAGACCTGTGGACGTTATGGCCACATTGCGCGCTTGTGCCCGAACGGTGGTAATCCCAACGGAGCTTTCCCAAGCCGTGCTCCACCTCCTGGTCGTTCTCTCAACACTTCGGCTCTACCCCCTGTCAAGTGCTTCCGCTGCGGAGGACTCAATCACATGTCGAAGTGAGTCTGAGGAGTGTTCAAACTCTACAAAATCTTATTCCGTCATAAGGGCTTGTCTTGCTCCTCCTGGAACTACCGTGAGCGAGCAAGCGATAGTAAGCAACGTTCAAGTGGGAAGCGGCAACCCAAACAAGGGAAAGATCTGCTACAAATGTCAGCAAGAGGGTCATGTGCGTATCTTTTCAATCTCGAATGAAAAGAACGGCCACTGATCTGCCCTTAGATTGCACGCGAATGTCCCCAGAACGCTGAATTTGTCGCCTGAAGAATTACTGATGGAATGTTACTGGACTCCAATACGAAGATTCTGTTTAAGCGCCGGTTTCAGGCAGTCTCAGTTGTTGTCATAACCATGTTCACCGCTGAAACAGACTATTTGTTGTAACCGAAGTGAGAGACAATGTAAGAATTGCGCGTAGACCATTTGGAATATTAATTCGATGGCTCGTTCACTACCACCCACAGTTCAGTTTCATTGTTGGGCTAGGAACTTTCTGATGGTAAGAGTTATTTTGAGATTCGTGCGCTGACAGCCTCGCTCGACATCGCAGTGATTTTGTTGCAACGCTAGCGATAACGCACGAGTGTCAAATATTCTCGCTGTGTTATTCATGTCTCCCACCCCATTTTCAATCCGCAGGCATGGTTCTCGGTCACACAATGCGGCAATTTTTGGGAACGAAGTGCTGATCGTGATACTGGAATATCAAGTCGCCGGAATTCATTTCACCACGCTGTTGCCATGAGGGTTAAGTTTTAGCTGCGCATGGAAGGTCCCAGACATTGTCAGTCCAATCTGGACTCAACATCCTGACTTTCTCGGCCGAGACTGGGCTTCAGATAGACCATGGATCTAGGACCGTATTCCGACATCGAATGGCTCTGCGAAGATCACACCATCCTCCCAAATCGTCAGTTATGGTCTAAGTCAAAACCTTTCTCATTCGAATCCGCATTTTCCCGGAACTTCATTGAGTCGTATCTGTTCAACAATCATACGCGCTTATCTTCCAATGTAAAATTTTCAGGAAGGTTAAGTTTACGCGTCTAGCACGGCCTTATGTCTGAGCGAGCGCTTCGTTCAAGGTTTCTGGAGAACAAGACCACACCAATATCGGATTTCTACTTCTCATTGGTCCGGAACTTGTGTGTATCCGCGCGATAAAGTTTAGCAGGGGTTATAAAGCCTGCAAGAGTCGTGTTACTCTTTGGGAGTTCCCCCCTTCCTTCCCCCTTCTTCAGGACCCGCGAAAGTGCGTCTTGGAGGCGCCTCGGTCCATCTTTGCATTTTTAACGAGCGGTAAGTCGACACAGATTCTCTCCTGATAAAGACTCATCATTCTA